AAAATTGAATCCACCAAAGGTTCTTAATCTTTTTCTGTTATTCCTATCTCCAACCTCTTCGAATACAAGTTGATGCAACAATTTTATTGAACTTGTCGAGGCCGACTTTAGTGTTTCGCCGATAATTTCTACGAGCGTCTCCATCTTAAAAGTAGAATTTTAAAACTACTCACGGTTTGCCGAAACGTAAGTCGAAGTCCTTCCGGAATGCCGATGTATTCGGACTCTCCAACGTCGAAATTTTCACAAAAACAGAAATGTCCGTAAATGTCCAGAGTACTCACAAAACCAAAGCGCAGTCCGTCGAATCTCCTCGACTTAAGCCTAATCCACATCCGAGCCTATTCCTATCCCGGACGGGTCCCCACTTCTGTGAGACTTTTCTTTGCCTTTTGAAAAACTTTAATTGAGGTAAGAAAGATTTGGATAACAGGAACCTTTTAAGGAATACAAATTACATAAAAAATACTGTGATTATTATAAAAAACAAATGTAGGACTTCTTTTTCGTCTTTTCGCGCGTTCTTCTTCAACCGTCGTCTCCTCTCGCGAAGTCTCGTCTCGTCCTCCTCTCGTCGTCTCGCCAGCAGATGGCGTTTCGCTCTCCACATATATGTACAGTAGAGCGTCGTTTATCCGAATCAATTGGGGACTGGGGTGGTTCGGATAACTTATTTTTCGGATAACGAGTCATGTACAAAAATATATATTAATTTATCCCATGTTGAAATTTCTCTCCATTGCGTGTCACTTCGCGTTGTATTTTCGTCGATGTTAAGCCTAGCGAAGACTATTGTATCGTAAAAAATTATTTTTTTATTTTGTACAAACAAAATAAATTTATTGAAAAATATAAAAACAATAAAAAATTATACTTCAGTTGTTAATTTAGTATCAAAAACGTAAAATATTTGAGTAGCCCGAGAAATAGCCGAAGATTGCAGCGCCACAGCACTAGCGAAAATTTAAATTTGCTGACTGGAATGCTTTCGGATAACGGACGTTTCCGATAACCAGCTTTCGGATAAACGACGCTCTACTGTATTTATTTTTCATTTTCGTGGCTAAATTATGCAAATATTATTACCGTCGATTTCATTCTTTCACTATTTCTTTCAAACCTTACTCTATTCGTTACATCTAAGTACTAAAATCTTATGTTAATTGGTTAATGATTTTGAGAAAAATTTTGAGAAGCTACTTAATGAATTTACTAAAAAATATATTTTTTCAGTAAATTCATTAAAAATATCTTAAATTCTTAGAAAATGATATCGGTCCATTAATAATTTATACAATTAATTTATAAGGATAAAACTTTGATATAAAATAGTCTACGAAAGCTTCAAGTTATATTGTAAACTAGCAGATGAGCCTGGCGATTCTCGGGCAAAAAGTAACGATACCGAAGATTAAGATTTTTAGATTATAGCCGATCTTATCCGTTTTCACCGGGTGCAGAAATTTGGTTCACCCTCTTTCGAGACTAATTAGAGAATTTTTAGATGGATCTAAAAATATAGCCTATTCGATTTTTCGCAAAAACGCAAAAAACCGCATTTAAAATACTACGGAATTCGAGTTCAGGGTAATCATTAATTAACCCTCTTTTTCTCCCCGCGGGGGAGGGAAATTTTGAAAATCCCCTTCCTAGTGAACATTCTCATGGTGTATCCTGTGTACCAAAATTTCAACTATCAACTCGCAAGCGTTTGGGCTCTGCGCTTATTATTATTATTATTATAATCATCATCTATCCATCTCAATTATAAGATTGACAATATGAGTTGAACGTATATAATAATAAATCATCTTACACAACTATGTATTATTTTGGTACTATATTTAAAAAATTAGGAAAAGTTTATCACATAACTCTATAATTCCATAAATCAGTCTTTTTTAAACTCTTTCCGCCCCGTGGGGACTAAGAGTTCCTCTTTTAGCAAGTCGTTTATGGATTCGGCCAGATTAAAGTATTTTCTCGTACCTTTCGTGGGATTTGGCCATACTCACAAAGGGGGAGGGGCTAGGTGGTAGGGAATGGGACTCGACATATTCGGGACAGACCGCCGATGAAATATTCGTTAGAAGTTGCTCTCCTGGAATCGATTCCGGATCCTTCTAGAATGGCCGTATAATAAAGCACGAGGGTAAATTTATTTTGTCTTAAAAAAAAAAAATTAGTTTTCTATATTCACACGCATTTTTGCTTTACATAAACTTCTAGGCCGACGTCATAACTGTCTCTGACGTCGCGCATTGTTAAAACTATTTGTTTTTGAACAATGTAGTAAATTATTAGAAATTATCAATATAACAATAACAACAATACATTTTATTCAACTTATTACTTATGCTTAGTGTCTGAGTATTATGAATGTATGTATGCTTTATATTTCTTAATTTGTTTATTTAGTTAATTAATAAAAGCGTGTAATCTTCGAACAGTGTTTATATATAGGCTAATATTCCTAAAAATGTTCGTTTATTTTGTTAAATGATTTTAGACAGTTTCAAATGAAAATATTTAACCATATTATCGATCAAGCAAAATGATTTTAATGATTATCCTTAAGTTTGTTTCTATACGCCAACGCGACACGTGGGCGATGCCTCCCCGGAGGTCTTTATAAGAAACTGGTCCTTATTGAGTATTAAAAACTGGAAAAAAACCCCCGGAAAAGTCCACATTGCCAGTCCGTTTGCGAAGCGCGAACTGAGATTTAGTGATTTTATCCACTCGGTGGGCCGATTGCCCTTAAGTAAAATTTTTGCCAAAATTTCATCTCTGCTAGGCATCATTTACTAGGGTTTTAAGCCATCCCTATATTAGAAAAAAAATTAAAATAATCTTGATTATTCACAGGATATAGATATTGCTTTTCAAAAATTACTCTTCGCAGTACTGAATTATTTCCAAAATTTAATGAAAGTTTTAAATAATTAAATTAAAACAATATCTTTAATACTTTTTAGTAATAATTTAATACTACTAGAAAGTAGTCATCTTTATAAAAGAAGTAAAACTGTTTATATGATTTCAAATATATTGCCATCAACAAGCTACTTGCTGACATACATTAGTACACAAAGTTGATGCTGAAAATCAATTCGTTTGCTGAATATATATAATATACAGTTTATAAGATTTTCTAATAAACAGTTAAGAGGAATTAAAATTAATGTAAAACCCAGTGTGATTTAATTTTAAAACAATAAACTTTGCAAACGCTATGTGTTAAATATCTTAGGCTCTAGCATTTACCGATATCAGGTAGACTCTGACCTCTTTTGGCAGGAATAATATGTGATACAGACATATTTGTGGCTGTAATATTTACTGTAGTACTTTATTAATATTACTGGTAGTAAAACAGTAATTCTACTGTATTCAAACAAGTTTTTGTACTGTATTTAAACTGGTTTAGCGTCTGATATTCAAAACCGATCAACTGATTTGGAGAATTTCCAGTGTTTGCCGGCATTAGTCTGGGACCATTCTTCTATTTTTATATGGAAACAGTATCTTTCTGTACGCAATTTCTTTACATGGATTTTCTGGGATCATAACAATCACGCAAAAAATAATTTGGTATACTATTTTGTCTGATCAATAAATCGATGAATAGATATCTACGAATTCTTTACAACTTTTCATTAAAAAATTTCAAAAAATATATTATGCAAATGTATAATTTGTTTTACTGTTTTACTGTTTTACTGTTATACAATTTTATTTAGTATTATTATTATTATTTCATTTATAAAAATGTTTTTAAAACTGTTATATTCTTGTTTATTTATTACAATTTTATAGCGTAAAAGAAAGTTCATTGATAACAGCTTTCCACCAGATTCAAAATCCTTGTATTATGATCCGAAAATTAATAAAGTAGAATGCCAATGGCTCAGACCTTGTAAAATAAAATCTTCTCATGCTGAATCTGAAATAGATTGGGTTATGATTCGATATCCATTAGAAGCTTCAGATATAGTACAAGGTAATACCATGCATAGCCCTTTCTCAATATTACAGTAAGATTGAATTTTTTATTGTATGTTTAATTAATGTATCCTGTAAATAAGAACAAGTTTATGACTTCTTACAATTGTCTTTATTGCACTTCTACACAAGACACTGGCCAGACAAAGAACCAGAGTTCCTTTGTCAGTCGTTTTTATACCCTCATACTGCGAAGCAATGATGTTGTCAATACATAATGTTATGTATTAACAACATCATTGTTAAAGTTGTACTGTATATTCTAATTGTTTTTGAAGGAGATAAAATGACTTAATAAATATTTTTATTGGTTTGATCAATGATTTAATTTATTAATTTAGTTTATAAATAATAAAAATTACACTATAAATAGGCATACATATAATTCTTATTTATTTTTTAAAATTTTGCATAGGTTCTCTTGGAGATTGTTGGCTTATGAGTGCTTTGGCTGTATTAGTTAAACAGCCGCAGCTATTAGAAAGAGTTATCGTTACAAAAGATATATGCCCAGAAGGAGCCTATAAATTTCAGCTATATAAAAATGGTTATTGGAAATTAGTTGTAATTGATGACTTGCTTCCGTGTGATGCCAATGGATTTCTGCTATATTCAGAAGTAAGTTTAAAAATTGTATGTTTGATAATTATAATATAAGTGAATCCAATAATTTATACAGTAGTTTAAATATATTAATCTCCATTTGAAAATTACATATTCCGTACATTTATGTTGTTATATATCTTTAAAATATATTTAATTCAATATGGATAATCTAAGCCAGTAATAACAAAAATTAATGATGTATTTCAGACATTCTTCTTAAAAATGTTTTAATTTTAGAAAGATGAATGTTTTCAAAACATTTATAATTCCATTATCAGAACTACTTGGAAAAATAATGTTGTAATCTCAAAATTATAAATTGAATATATATTGTTTTAAGTATGAATAATATAAATTACGTAATAAAGAATTTCAAATACTTAAAGTTACTATAATACACTTCTTGATTAGCCTTGCTATATACTTGTGAGCACTATGTTGGCTTCTTTATTCCTAGACTTATTACACCGTCACTGAACACAAGATCAGCCTTAGAAAATCTGTTTATTTTTCCAAAGGCTGTTCTTGTTTATTTACACTAAACTTTGTATTTTATTTTTTCTCAATAATACATTTTTTTAACATATGATGTATTTTATGTCAAAAATCAACTTTAAACAAAATGAAGAAAAAATTATCTTTAGATAACTAAACTCATAAGTACACAAAATCTTTATAAATAACGAAGCACAGGAGTACTGATAGGAGGGCAAGGGGAGCAAATTGTCCTGGACTCAAGGAAATAGGGTCCCTTATACTATGTTTTTTTTTTTTTTCATTTACCTCCTTTAATATAATCTTTTAATTTGTTATAGGGTTCCCAATATGTATTCTGTTGTAGGGCCTGTTGTTCTCTGGTGGCTCTGAAGATGCAAATTTTATTATGACCAATTAACTTATTTTTGTGAACTTTAAATTTAACATTTTTAAAGAATTTAGAAATGAAAACATTTAATTTTTTACATATAATTTTTATATAATATTCAATGGTAGTTTTTCTTTACGTTTTAAAATTATATATTATAATTGGTGATAATTCTTATTTAGATTGCTTCATGATAATAGAAAGAAATGGCACGATCAATTTGGCAATCCATACACTTTTTTTACAAATAATATATTCATAAAATTTCAAAAGAACAGTTTTCTAAAATTATATTAAAAAGTTTGTTCTTTTTCACTTAATTAAAAGATTAGTTTCAATAATTGTTAATATATTGATTTATATCAGCTGAATTATTAGCATCTTCAACATTAAAACTTGTAAACGATTATTACTTTAAAATACATGAAATTTTCATAGGCAAAAAGAAAACAACTTTGGGTTTCATTAATTGAGAAAGCAGCTGCCAAATTACATGGTTGTTATGAGGCTTTAGAATCTGGAAGGGTTATTGATGGACTACAAGTTCTAACAGGTGCTCCTTGTGAGAATTTAATTTTGAACTGTAAGTAATATTTGATCATAAGATATGAAATTTAATAGTAAATTATTCAATAGGATTAGTTATTTAGTTAAAAAGGAAGTTTTAAATTCATTGCACAATATATGAATTTAAAACAGAAGAATATGTAACTAAAGACTAAAATATTACCGTATATTGAGATTTACTTATTGTTAATAAATTAATCTCCAAAATCTACATTATTACTTATTCTTCTTCCTTTTAATTTTTATTATTCTATTTAACTGTACATAATAATATACTCTTCAGAAGTGAAATTGCAACACCATGAAGGAATGTGTATAGCCACATACGCTTTGTAGGAGCAGTAGAGGCGAGAAACATATGCAACAGACACCTGTTTATTGAGCAATGAATATGGCCCCCCACAGGCATATTATCAATTAAGGTGATTAATCCCTTGCCAAACTATGTCCACTGAAATGCACATGTTGTCTACGTTATGTGGTGGTGGTCCCCGCTGCACCTCATATCAGACGAGTCCCATAAGTATTTGATGGGAGAGAGATCCAGCAAAGCTGCCGGCCAAGAATGGATGCGAATTCTGTTCAGGCTGGTGACATGTGGTTGGGCATGGTCTTACTGGAACACCGTGTCGGGTGCAGTCTGCACCTGTGGCTGAACCACAAGGCCCATAATTCATGTGACGTACTGATTTGCTGTCAGAGTACCAGAAATGTGCACCAGGGCTGTCTGTTGATCGATGCTCAGAAAAAAGAGCTGACACATAGTGTTTCCCAAGATACTGCCAATCTTGTCCAAAGTTTTCATTCCTCCACAGAAAAAAAGAAGGATTCATCTGTAAACAATACCTGATGCCATTCATGGTCCAGTTGTGATGACAATGACACCAAGCTTGCAGCACTGTGTCAAGTGGTTATTAGCACCCTTGTTGCTGGTTGCAATGCATGCAGTCCAACTTCATGCAAGCTGTTGCAAATGATTTGGGTGGACACAGATGCACCAATTGACGGAAACAGACTGCTTCGAACGTCACATGCTGTGGCAAATTCACCCAACAGACTGTTTGGTGAATCTGCCAGCCTGTGCACTCTGTCGCGCGCCAGTTCAATCCACATGCCCTTCAATGTGTTTGCAGATGATCTTGCATCTATTGTGTCACACATCGCTGGATGGTTCTCATGTTGTGCCAAACAAGTGTGGCGATTCTGTGCATTAACAAACTGAGGTAGCACAGTTCCAAGGTACGGTCTTGTTCCCCAGCCATTAATTTAACTGACGGTATTCAGCTTGCTGTTATCTCTGAGGCATTTTCTATGCTTCTTAGAAAGTTTGGTTGCAAACTGTCACTGATAGCATTGTGAGATGTATAAGATTTTAAATAATGGGTTGTGACAACAGATAAAATTTTATTTGAATGGACAATGGAACTCTTATAAGCTACAATAGGGGTCACCAAACTACGGCCCGCGAGGTCAGTTCATCCAGCCCACCACTGCACTGTGACACAAATGAGCTAAAATATAACTATTTATATAGAAATATCATACATTCTAGATAAACTTACTAAGTAGAAAAAATTAAAATAAGTGTAAGTAAAAATGCCAAAGTTGGTCCAATCTGATTTTTGCAACTGACAATAATACAATGTTTAGGAAAATCAGTAAAATAAAAAATTCGGTGATATTTTGCGATATTGGACATAACACCGCTTTTCGTGTAAGTACCTCCAATGAAGTTTCTAACAAAGCGATTACGAGCTTGCTGTGGAGATCGTGTTTGTGTATTGGTAAATAAATATACTAGTTATCTTTATTTTTTGTGTATTCAGTATTCTGTATTGAACAAAACGGTTATACGGCCCGCACTTGTCATTCTTTCAGTTATCTGGCCCGCTGTGAAAAAACTTTGGTGACCCCTGCTCTAGAGGAAAGTCATTCAGTTCCTTTGAAATAAGAGCTAGAGTGCGATGTCTCTCTCAATCTCTCTCTATCTGCGAGACATATGACTTCCGTCAAGTGGCGGAAGCATGGACAGCTATTTCTAATAATTCTGTTGGATGGAATTTTATATATAAGGTGAAAAGTCACCTTCAAACACGCTCTTATTCGTGCTAAGGCGCTCTTTCCTTGCTTTAACCAATACTCTTGTCTCTTTCCTAGTATTCTACTTTGGATCGTTCCCAAAAACTCTCAACTCTTTATGATGAACATGTAAGAATAATAGGTAATATAATTATATTATGTAAACTCTGTTTTTTTGTATAAATTTGTTAGGTTAGGATTTGAAAGTGTCCTCCTTTGTATTAATATCGAAACTAAACATTTTGTTTTTTTCTTGTCAGAGTTTTACTTTGAATTTCCATGTAATGTGTATATACGATAACTATAGTTTTGTTTAAATAAATATAGAGCTATATTCCTAATTATCGTTTAATTGATTAATGCCTAACTCTATCGACAACTCACAGTTAAATTAAATCTTTCTAAAATTTCCGTTGATTCGAATACATCTTTTTCCACTCTTAAGTTAAGATAAATTTGCGAGTTAGAATAAGTTTAATCGCATCAGGACAGACAAAAAAGGATTTCACAGATCTTTCTTCATTTCATTTCCATCCTGTATGCGGAACGGGGGGAGTCCTAGAGTCCTTGTATCTCACAGTAGCTACACTAATAGCTATAAATATTAATATATATTATTATAGCTATACGTAGCTATAATAAAGAAAATGGGAAGAAATAGCTCCTTGTTTTTTTCCTATTCCTGTTATAATAAATTAAAAACATGAACTTTAAAAAATGTTAACACTATATTTGTTATACTAAGTTTAATGTAAATTGCATTGATTTAAAGATAAGTGAGAATAAAAGAATATTTGAATATAAACAGATACTAAAGAAAGTGAAACTGATAGATAAATACAACTGGAATATATGTATAATAAATAATAAACATTTTTATTTCTTCAGCATTTGTTCTGTATTGCGAACTAATATTTTTAGTTCTTAATAAAGGATCATCTTCACATTCAACTTATAATTTAGATAAATAAATTGTAATTAATATTTTAATTATATGATTTATTAAAAATTTTAATGAAAATTATTACGTGCTTATTATTAAAATTAAAACTAAATTGACATTATTATAATAAATAATACTGGTTATAAAGAGAAAGGTGTAGAAGAGAAGGGTTAAAATTAAAACTGAAGTATTCATTGGGGAAGGGATAAATTTTTTGGCATGTGGATAGAAAAGAAAGGGAAGGCGTATAGAACAAGCATATGTAAGAATTACAAGAATTACACAAGATTAATGTATATACACCTTTGATAACTTGATAACAAAAGCAATTAAACCGTTTTTGGATTGGAAAGCCGTAAATAGAAAAAGTGAAAAATTGAAAGGATAGCAACAAAGCACAGAGTTGTGAATAGAGAGTTTCAAATGTTATTTGTGTTATGTAAGGTTTTTCCTCTATAATTCAATGTATCTTTCAGAGTTTAAGCTGTCGTTAGTATTTTCGCTAAAATGTTAAAAGGATGTAAATTTAGCGACAACTTTTTTGGCATATTTCGCTAAAAAAACTAACATTTTTGAAATGGTTAAAGCATCTTCCCATCACTGAAAAACTAACGTTTTCAAGATGTTTTAATTACAATTTGGTGACGGAACGACACCAAACTTTCTTCCGATTCCGATTCTTTTGAATACTTTCTAAAGTTTATTTTAGTTTGGAAAAATTAACGATTTACACTACAAGCACAATGCATTCGTTAATTAATAAACATCAAGCTTAAGAATAGAAAGTGATTGGGAAATCCAGAATCGATCTTTCGAAAGAAACCCGAAAATTTTCCATTTACATGTAGATACGCATGCTTTTATTGTGTAGTAGAAAATAAATTTGTAGTCTTATTGCGGATAAAGTTAATATTGCAACACAGTTTCCAAACAAATTACAGTCAGTTCCCTTTTAATAATAAGAAAAAAATCTATCCCATCAAGTCATCTAAAGTCGCATCTTAGAAAATTTTTCGTTGGCCGATACGACGACCGGGTGAGGAGGAAGGTAATGAGAAGATGCACTTCTTTTTTAATTTTTCTTACAATAGGCATGCCTAGTAAATGTTGTAATTCCTTCGTATTTAACACTAAATAAGGTTTGCAAATGATGCAACAAACGGATCAATATCATCATCATCATCAAGAGTTAACCAAGTTTTGAATTCATTCACTTGAGCCAGGTTTTCCTAAATGTACAGTACAATTGCATGTACTTATTCAAGGGAAAGAAGAATCAAACAAATGCCTAGACTGATTCATCTTGAAAAATCAGTTTTTAAAACTCAAAACAATAGTAAATTTAGAGGGAACAATTATTTTTACATATAATCACGCCTAACGCATTTAAAAATTTAACGTTTTGTAGCATCATTTGTGAATCATAACAAAAACTTTGCTAGTTATAATGAGAAAGTCATTTTATGATTAAAGAATACTTCTATATAAGCTGAATTTAATTTATCTTGAACAGAACCTTAACTATATTTTCAACAACACTTTAATTTCAATAAAAGAATGTTTTTGGCCCCTTTTCAGAGGTCTGCATCAGGTTTAACAAAAAGATTCAAACTGTCTTATTAAACAGTGCGAATCTTCTTATTAGACCTGTGAAAAGAGTCGAAAATGTTTGTTTAAACAAATTAGTGTTGCCAAAAAAGTAATTAAGGTATATGTTTACTTATAATTGTAAAGCTGTTAAAACTTTTAAGTAAACATAATAAATATTAAAAATAATTTTATGTAATATTTTTTTAATTAAAATATAATTGGGCTGCAATTTGAAAAAAAAAATTGAATATGTTCTTTCATATTCAGTGCACACTGTTGAGCCTGAAAGATTTCGGTGATATGACATTAACAAAAACTCCAATTGGAAACTGTCTTGATGTAAAAATATATCAGAAACTTGTTAAACATCGCTATAAATGGACCCCCCATATGGGAATTTGATTTTCATTCAGCATTCATTGCCTGGAGTGAATCAAAACCAAGAAGAATTGTTCAATAATGTATGATACTTGAAGGTTGTAACATTAGATTTATGGTTATATTGGTAATGCAGTTCACTGTATTACCAATATAACCATATCTGTACAGTATCTGTGAGAGTAAACAAATGCTTAAACAATAATGTATTGTGTACTGTTCTGGGCAGCCTCACGGATGAGTTTCTAAAATTTTGCTACAGTTTTTTTTTACTAAAATTAGTTAAAATGCTACAGAAAATTTTTTTCAGCTTAAATCCTTTATTTTTTATTAATTATTTATCACTTTATGAATTTTACAGATTGTTATGTTTAAGAAATCCTTGGGCTAATTATGTTTGGAAAGGAAACTGGTCAACTCACTCAAGACTGTGGACTTCTAAGTTAAGGAAAAAATTAATGCCTCCCGATATCGAAGAAAGCAGTTTTTGGATATCATTTGAGGATATATTGAAGTTAGTAGTTATAGAAATGACAACTTTTTTATATACGCTATTTTACGTATTGACTAAAAAAGTACTGTACATCAATTCAGTCTAACATTTTGCTTTTTTTTTATTATTATTTATCATCATTATTTCATCAATTTCCAAGTGTTTTGGGAATTTTCTTCCTTTCTTCATTATAATATTTAGGGAATATTATTTTATTTATCAAGATATTTTTTACTTCATAAAATATATATAAATTATTTACTTAAATTGTTATCAATGAGACATCCCTGTATTAAGTTCTTTTAAAATTTTTGGCTACTTTTTCTACACTTTCAGCAAATGATAAAATTTCCTAAGGTTTTCAAACCATATTAGAATTTTCCTCATTTGTTTAATCTTTAATTAAAACAAATACTCACTTAGATATTATTTTTTTTCATTATTAAAGTTTTGTTATTTTTACTCATTTGAATTTCAAATATTCTTCCAAACTTTTTAAAAAGCTCTTCTAAAAAATTTTATTTATTTATTTTTTTAAACTATAGTAAACTTGTTAAAAACATTAAAATTTCTTTATCAATTTTGCTTCCCAATTTATTAGAATATAGAAATCACATACTTAAGGGTTATTTTGAATCTCACTTAAAGTAGATAATTGCTTATAGTAAAGTGTGAAAGAAGCTATTTTACATAACATAATCTCTTGTTTGTATGTAAGGCTGTATAAACAAGACTAATTTTTGCATTGAAGTTTTTATAAATTTTTGATTTGTGTGTTTATAACTCAATAATATTAATATATGATATTAAAAAAATTTTCAGTAAAATTTACTGGTTTGATAAATAAGTAGAAATTTTAAAATTTGTAGATTTACTTCTATTTCTAATGCTAGATTCTAAATACAGAATTATTATATTTTAATGCAAACATATACGAAATTAATCCGACAAGTAAATTGCTATGTAAATGACAGAAATGTATGAAATATTATAATGAAAAAGTTCTAAAATTTTTCTGCAATTTTTTTCCCTATTCAATCTCCAATGTTTTGAGATTGGATTATTACTATTCAGAAAAATGTGTCTGGTAGAAAAGCAAAAATTCTAACAAAAGCCAAGTTGGAATGATTGAAGAAGACCTATGAAGATAATGACATTGTTTCAATTCGCTCTATATTCCTTAAACTGAAAAATTCAAATAACAATACAAGGGTTTGAAAAGAAAAACACATCAAACATTGAATAAAACAGGCAATTCCAGACAGAACAGTCATGAAGAGATAATTTGCAAAGACAAAGTGTAGAAAGTTATTGTGAAAGTTCTCTGAAAAGTTTTTTATTTTGGATAATAAATCTTTCTTCACTCTCTCTCTCTCACTTGACAATCAATGGCAATAGTGGATTTTATACCAGTGATAACTCCTCTACATCTGCACAATGAAAAGTTTTTTTAAGAGAAAGAAATTTGAGGATAGAGTTTTGGTTTGGATTGCAAGGACTGAAAAATTGAGTCAAGCTCTAATTAGAAAATCAGATTTTATTATCAATGCTCAAGCAATATTTAAATGAATGTATATGATATTATCTGATTCCTTACATTCGAAAGAACTATTCTCAAGAAGAATTATAGAGTTTTGCTTTATTTATCATTTTCAATTTTCAATGTATAGAGAAGTAAATTTTTTTTAATACATTCTTCTTTATGGATTCTTTTTACTACTGTGTTCAAAAAATATCGGGAATTGCTATAATTTTTTCGTCATTTGGAACAACTTTCATTGACATCTAGCAGCAATTCGTATGTTATCGTCTTTACATGCTTATTTTGCATGTAAAGAATTTTTGCGTTTTTTGTTCAATTACATTCGACATTTTGAAAAATTACAGTGGTAATTTTTCAAAATGTCGAAGTTGAGAGAGAGAGAGAGAGTGAAGTATTTCCGAAAACGTTGATGCCAGCTAAAACACGCAAAAATTTAACAAAAATAATATTAAAGTAGCCAAGACATAGCGAAATATTGTAATGCCACATCACTATCGGACATTTGAAATTTGCCGACTAGAACGGTCGGTTAACCGATGTGACGGTTTATCGGGGGTCGGATAATCTATGCTCTACTGTACTACTACAAAAATGTTGGAAATGTTGCAGAGAAGCCTTTGGTGACAATAATCTAGCAAAAGCAAACTTTTAAGTGGTATATGATGTTCAAGGAAGGCAGAGAATGCATTGAAGATTAACTAAACTATTGTAGACTATCCACTTCGATGAAAACATGTTGCTAGAATCAGAAATTTGGTGTTCAATGATCAGCATTTAACAATTATGGGCATTATTGAACATGTTCAAGTGTCATTTGCAGCTTGTCAAGCAATTTTGAAAGGTTATTTGGGTTTTGTGATGCATCGTTTCTCAAGTTGTTCCGAAAATATTGAAGTATTTCCGAAAACGTTCAAGTGGCCGAGGAGATGCTTTCTTAAGGCGAATTGTTCTTAATATGTGATGAAATGTGGATCTATGCTTTTGACACTAAAACAGCTCAACAATCAAGTGAATGGTGCTCTAAAGGTAAAGCAACATCAAAAAGACCATGTCAAAGTTTGTCAAAAATCAAGGTTATGTTGACTGTTTTCTTCAATTCCTTCCAACTTGCCAAACTATCAACAAAGAATATTATTTGAATGTTTTGCAATTTGTAGAAAATCACCCGATTTGTTGTGAGAAAACTCATAGATTTCGCATTACGATAATGCACCTGCTTACAATGCTCTTGTTATTCATTAATTTTTAGCCAAAAACTCAATAATATGGTTCCACAAGTTTAATATTCACCTGATATGTCATTGTGTGACTTTTTCCTGTTTCTTGGACTAAAATATCTGCTTTGTGTCACTATTTTCACTCAATTGATGCCATGAAACAAAATTTGCAGCGAGTCCTGAAGGGATTTCATGAAAACGACTTTAACTAATGTTTCGAGGATTGGAAAAAAATGTTTGCATTAGTGTATTGTAGTGGGAGAGGATTACTTTGAAGGGAACGGAATAAATTTTGATGAATAAATTTAAATCTTGCATTTTATTGAATACCCAATACATTTTGATCACAGGGTATAGTAAAAGTGGCCATAATACCACACTGGCAAAATTTTTGTGATTTGTTATCACAACAAAAATTATATATGAATTTAAGTTAATTAAAAAATAGGGTTATGTAGAATGCTTACTAGCTTTCCAAATTTAAATACTTAACGAGCAATTATTTATTGTGGAATTGTCAGAATGCCGGGCTGCAGATTTTAATCATATTTTTATTAATTTATTTAATTTAAAATATATGCTTTTCACTTCAAGTTAGTAGTGGCTTGCCCCTGTACTGTACTACATCATACTTTTTACCTTTAATAAGTCATAAGTCATACAACCAAAATATTGCCAACTTACAAATAAATGAAGACTTCCAATCTGAACTTATTGAAGTGATATTAATAATTTAACAAAAATCACAAATAAGATTATTTTACTAATGAAATATAAGGTCAATGCATTCAAATCAAATCATGTATTGATATATCCAATATAAAAATATATTGTAATCCAGGAATATATAAAATTAATTGTGTTCAAATGTTTATTTCAAATCACCTTGTATAAAGAAATATTAATTTATTATATTATTTTATTTAGTTTTTTAAAATTGTGTTGTCATCTGTCAATTCTGAATTGAAATCTGTATTCTATTGTGAATATGTTTTGCATGAATAAATGCAGAAGAAGTATGCTTTTAAAACTTATTTTACATTTATGTTATTGTGATTTATACAGTATTATTTCCTGTATTTACAACATATATAAGAAAAGTTACTTTTATATTAAAAATTAAATAAAATATATGGATATTGAATGTAAGCAAAAGTATAAAAAAATAGAAATTTATGAAAATTTACATAAATTTTGTAATTTATCTAAAATTGAGAGAATTATGAATTTTAATAATAACCTAAATATTTATTACTGTAATTTCATTTGGATAAACTATGAGCTATCTTATTTAAAAGGTAATTTAAAAGCAATATGGATTTCAATTTAATATCAATTTTTCAATTGTAATTATAAATTTATCAAACAACTTTTTTATTGTCTATTAATAATCATAATAATAATACAGTTGAATAGAAACACATACATCCCAAAGGCCACTACATTGAATACATGTCATATTTTTAGGATATTCTTGAATATAGACACATACACTGAAACACTTATTTCATTTTTGTTTTGTTTTGGTTGCTATACCTTGACTCTGATATGGCGTAGTACGTAGCAACCGATGTCAACCAAGTATAATCCACTACACTCAACATAATAATAATATTTTTTAATGTGTATCGTTCTCAGATTGTGTCCAATATCAAATCTCACAAACTTGGCTGTTGGGCCCACCCGTGAGACCAGTACAAAATCTTATACAGTTTAGAGAATATTTCTGACAATATGACAAGTTGCCAGAATGGGAGCTTTTTGTAAAGATCTATCAAAATTTGAGTGAATGTCTATTGTCTTCAGGCTCTTATTTAACAAATGTGCGATAACTCATGCGGCAGAGAGAACTATTGGTATGATATGGACTTTATTCATTTTCTGTAGGTGTTTTACTTCTTGAAAAAGTTCAGTATCTATCAATAATTTGTAAATTATGTGTATTTAGTATAGAAATGTCAATGATAGCGGTAGTTTTTTGCACTTTGTCAATGGGGACAATATTCGGTGTATTGTGATGGATCTTTTTATCTGTTATAATTGTTCTGTCAAAATTTAGTTTGAGCGTTGTATTTTCAAGGATAGTTTGTGGAATATGGTGTATTTGTGGTGTCTAGTAAATATTTCTTTGCTATATACTGGTGAATTATTTTAGTTACCTGTTTATGTCTGAATAAACAGCCTGTTTGTGCTTGGTTTTTACATCTGCTTATGATATATTGTATAGTTTCTTGTGCAACATGACATTTTCTGCAAGTGTCATCCATGGTATCTTCGATTACGTGTTTCCTGTAGGCCCTTGTAGTTGTTTCTGTTTTCCCAAAGAGATTCCCATTTCTCAGTCAGTGGTTTGATGTTGCCTTACCAACATGTGGCTGTGCAAGGTCAGTTGAGTATTTACGGTGTGGTAAGTTATACAAACTTTTATCTCCATTTTTGCAATTTTATGTGGGATATACACTGGTGTACGTTATATGCTGCCACAGGTTATCCACATGAAATTATAAATTATAATAATCACCTTTTTCATATATATACTGTTTATATATTAAATATTTCAATTCTAAATAATTGAAAAATATGTTTTAGGTATTTTGATTCTATAGATGTATGCAAAATAAGATCAAATTGGCATGAAGCTCGGTTTGAAGGCACTTATCCATGTTTTGCTGATCACAAAAATCTTACAGCAGTTAAAATATATATCTCAGAATTAACAGAATTGGAATTAATGCTTTTTCAAAATGATCAAAGGTTAATTCTTTTTATATTGTCTCATATCAGGATAAATTAAATAATTTATTTAGCCAGCAAGAATTTTAAACCAAAATATTGTACTGCTCATTAATTAAAATTAAATAAACAGTTTTAGATTTAATCTCTCAGGACCTTCACTGAAAATGGAATTGAGAAGACCTAGCCTCACTATTAATTTATTGATAAACTTCTTTCGGTGTTATTTGAGGAAACTTATTGACCTACCAGTTGATGATTATACAAGACTTTCAAAGATAAACGTTAATTCTCTTTTGAAGCCATGGCCTGTTATAGTTAAAGAATTATTAATTATTGGATTGTCCTCTAGTTATATGTATTCTTTTAAGTGAAAGTTCGTTCCTCCTGGATTGTGATCAACAACTAAGAGACTTATATTAGTTAAAAGATGTTGATTATTTGAGTAAGAGGTTGGGACAGTAAAATTTTACTTAAAGGAATGTGGATTTCAGCATCATGTTTATTGTCTAATTTGAATTACAAAATAAACTCGTTTTTGTACACAATTTAGATTAAATAGGTTTTAGATAAACTTAAATGGTAAAATCACTAATGTCTCGTGTGACGCTGAGTGTTCTTTCTGTGGAATGATAGTGATGGATATGAGAAAATACCTTCTTGATTCTTGTAATATTCTTTTGAATATCACAAAAGAAGATGACAAAAGCAGATGGTAGTGTAGAGTTACTACCTGTTTTTATCATCAAATTTTGTTCGGTGACAGTTTTCTCCACGTTAATATTATACTGTATAACTTTTTTGTTCATGTATCAAATTAAAGTAACAATAATATTTAACACCCTTTGTAATAACACCCGTTATATCAAATAATAAAGATTGTTGAAACATAGAAATTATCAATCAATCAATGTGATAATTAACTACATTGATGCAATATTGAATTGTATATAACTGACTTTAGAATTGCACAATATATTTCATGTTTATTATATTTTAATAAAATTTCGTGTATATAAATAATAAATTTATTATTATTGCCTAGGAATGTAGAAAATTCAGAGAGATCTTATCTAGATCTTTGTATCACCGTGTTTCATACAGCATCAGGACATGTTGGATTATTCAAGGAATGCAGCAGCCGTCAAATTAGATGTTTTGTTGGTTGTAATACCATGTTAGAAATGGGAGAATACGTTGTCATTTGCTTTGCTTTTAATCATTGGAATATAAGTAAGTGTACATTTTAAATTTTCTACATAAAGTTTAATTTTTATATATAAATTATTTATTTATTTAATTTTACAAATAGCCATTCATTAATTGAAAAAATATCGTTATGTTGAAAGATTTTATTAATTCTATAGTTTGATTCAATTAACTGATGAAAAATTAGCAACATTAGTAATATTCCTATAACATCCAATGTCAAATTGTTGATCAGATGGCACTACTACATATCACTTGGCATTGCCATTTTTACTTTTCCGGTTCCATTATATGGTAAAGTATGGCAATTAGTAAACAAAAATGACCCCCGAGGTTTCTATTTTTGGACTCGAGACGTTAAAATGTTGAGAAATGCAAAAAAACTCAGGTTTTTTCTGTATGAATGAATGTTAGAGCGAGTGGTTTGTGACACGATTTTATTCACCCACTCTGAAGCTTAACTCTTGTACTTTTGTGAAAAATTTCTGAAATTTTTCAGGGAGATTTGTGTATTGATGCTAGTACATTTTGGTGGTTAAAGGTTGAGGAGGTAGGGAGATAAAGTGGAGTTGTCATATCTCGAGTAGGGTCGGGCTTAATGACAATTTTCCTTGTTATTAGCATTTGCAATCTTTTATAAAACCCATCCATATCCTCAAAATTGAGTTTTTTCTTTGCCATTTCATAATTAAAAATATAAAAAGTTTTTTAAAATAAAATATTATAACAGATGGCACCACCAAATGTTGCCGGGAAAGTTAACCAACTCATTGCTAGATTTTTTAATAAGAGGTTTATTTTTGAAAATAGGCTAATTGAATACAAATGGGCTATCAGTTCAGCATTTCGTGTTAGACACACTGATGTATTTTTTTCACTATTTTCAATGTGTATAAGAATGAAAAAGATTTTGTTCATATTTTGCAGGAACATGGCTTATTACATTCCCAGTATTTTTTTTTTCAATAAAGTTATAAAATATAGTTACGTTAAGTGTGCTAAAAAGTAAGTTGAATTGTGAGAAATCAATTTTTAGCTGCATTTTTGAACAGATCAAAGATTAGTTTCATATGCTTGAGGAACTGTTGTCATTTAATTAAGTTTTGCCTGCAATTTTTAAATGGGAATTGTTTTTCTAAGTGAAATAGCATTCCTTTAAATTGTCATTCAAATAGAATAAGTAAATATTTTAATGTAAAAAATTAACAAAACGTGCTTAACCAAAACAAATATTCTAAAATCTTAGTTACTGGGTTGCAATTTGAAAAAATTGTCAAACTATAAATTAAAATTTTTGAATGACTGATGTGAAATGGTGCAATATTGGAATGTATTCCCATATGCAAAATTTGAACAATGCAAATACAACACATTGCAAAATTTAGGGTATAATCAAATGGCAAAATTTCATTATTAAATTTTTATTTCTAGATTTAAAATCTAAAGACTATCCTAAAAGTCTTCTAGTCATACAAAGTTCAAAATGTCTTCAAATGAAAAAAGCATTATCACATAAACATATATTTGCTGATTCCATTATTAATTTAGTCATAGCAAAAGGAGCAAGACATGAGGTATGATTTTAATTTTAAAGTTTCATTTTAAAGAGGTCATTTTATAAGTTTAACAACTATTTTGAAATTAATATTTTGGATTACATCATGAATTGGGAGACTGGAATGATACAGCAATAAATACGTCTATCAAAGAGCCTTAATTGAATTCCAGTAAGATTTACTTTGAAATAAAACTAATGCTTTCGAATACAAGTAATTTTCTTTAGGTCCGTGTATTCGATGATGGAATGCTTGAACAGAACAATGACTTTTTTGAAAAATTAAATGAAATAATTCTTGAATATATACATAATAATAAATATAAAAGTAAATACTTGAAAAAGTACCAAAAATAAAAAGTAAACACTCAAAAATTATATAAATATAAACGAGATAATGTCCCTAATAATAATAAGAACTAAGTAATATTACGATATTACTTAGTTCTTGGGTGATCATATAGGGATTGCCATGCATAAACTTTTGTCTTTAAAATTAGATGCAATGGACCTTTTTGTCAGATTTAGATATCTCCAATGCTTCATGTTTCCTGACGGAGGCAGAATAGTTTGGTCTCAAGGGTGAAATCTATGTTAAGTTAAGGAGTGCGTTGTGTTTATTTTGTCAGTATCATGTTTATGTTTATCTAGTCTTACATTGAATAGATCAGTTCCATCACAAGGTCTCTCAAGTTTGTAGCCAACATCGATCGTCCTTCAAAGGAATTTTATATACACCGTATCCTAAGCATGTTAGTCTTCTCTTTTTACCTCGTGTTTCTATGTTGATCATATGGATTTTTAGCCTTAGGGTCCAAGTTGTGAATGTTGTGGGAAAGTGCATTGGCTAAATCCCTGATAAGGTTCTTGCTGCAACCATTTGTTGTGGTTGTTTATTCAAGGTGTTCCAGTTCTTTGATTGTGTCAGATTAATATGTACAATGGTTTTACGCCCTTTGCAGTTTTTAGGGCTTTAACCAAATTATATATATATATGTGGTATAAGAATCGTGGGAACTTGCAGGTATAAACAAGGATGTGTATCTTGGTTAATAAATATTTGTATGGATCTGTTTATTTTTAATGTTAAATCAGGAAATGCACATTTATGCTACCGGCTCGATCTAATTTAATAATGAGACCATACAACAAATGAACAACAACTCCTATAAAATTATTAATCTGTTTTTACCTTCTGTATAATGATGATATCAACAACATATCTTTTGTATATGTACATTTCTGATAGGAAATATGGTAAAACTGTTTTTTCTAATAATCGTATTACCATAATTTAACATACTTAATAATTTTTAGTGTTTGGTATCTTGTTCTATTTACTTTTATGTATTTGAGAATTATTTAATTTAAATTTTCAAAAAAGCCTCATTGTTCTATTCGAGCATTCCATCATCAAATATACAGACCTCAATTTCTAGATTGAGAAGTGTTAGTTCAAAAGTTTTATTTCAAATTAAACCTTGCTGGGATTCAATTAAGGGTCTTCAATAGATGTGTTTATAATTAATATTTAAAGGTTTTAAGATCAATTTTTTTATTATTAAAGAAATATATCTATTTCATATACAGAAAAAATATCAAAAAGATCCAATATAAGTTGTGAAAAATATTGTGAATTGTGCTGTGTTGCACATTGTGAAAAATATTTCTAGATTTACTATAATATACTGTGCTTGCTTGATTCAAATGTGCATCTGTTTTCTTTCTGCTTGCTTTTGAAAATTGATGTGTGCATTGCATTAAATCGACTTTGTGCCTGAATCTAGCCTTATTTCTCATCACTCTGCTCAACAATTTGTATGTATTACAAAATCTGTATAGACAATGCAATGAAAACTGCCTGTGAGGGCTTACCCACACCAAAATTTTTTTGTTAGGAACTTTACATGATGTTTGAACTTCACTACTGTAAATAAGTCTTTTTATTTTCTGCACATTTAGAGCCATCCGGCATGAAATAAGAGTTGTTATCCATAACAGTGTCCAGATTGTTTTGGGGTACAAATCTCTTAAAATCCTTTATGATATATTTGGATGCAAAAATCCTTTTCATAATAATATTTTTATTCTTCAATATCTTATGCATGTGTGTGTAGGATATGTTAAACTTTCAATCCAGCATATAGAGAGACTGGGTCCATCTTATCAATGGCATTACCGAATAAAAACATAAGCAGCTAGCTTGTCATTTTACTGTTTTTCTTCTACTTCCTTCAGCTCGAGACAGCATTTTCTTCTCTTCACTCTATTTATACTTTTTAGAATGCCCTTAAATCAAAATGTTCCAAATGAAAAGTTTACTTCATTGAATATCTTTTAAATCTTCCATTTCAAAGAATATTAAAAGTCAAATAAGTAACTTGTATGCAATAGAAATCTGCATGCAGATGTGCAGAAAAAACTAGATGTGTGTAAACTTTCTCCATTTTAAATTATTCAAGATATATGTAGAATAATTTTGACCATTAAAAATTAATATATATTATTGTAATTTTCTTTATTTCAGGGAAGAGAAGGAATGACAGCATATTATTTAACAAAACACTGGGCAGGATTAGTGGTGGTTATAGAAAACAGACTACCAAATCTTGCAATTCAAGTTATCTGTGACTGCTCTGAAAGTACAAATATTGTATCAACCAGGAAGACTTTGTTTACAGCTGACAGGGTTCCACCTCTTCATAGGTATCTATTTACATAAAAAAATATAATTAATACATATTCTTTTAAAATATCAATAAAATTTTGAATAGTTGGACAGAAAATGTTCGTAATACTTGTATATTCTTGTTTCAATATATCTATTATTATTTATATCTAAAATACAAATACATTCACTGAGCATTGTTAAAAGAATAGTTGGAAATTACATTTCAATTAGATTATTATTTAATATACAAAGTAAAAATGAATGATAAAAGATTCAACATTATATTCCAAGTACTTAAATTGTTTTTAGTATAATTAAATAAATAAATGAAAAGTTTGCAAAAAACACAATTCTAATATTATTTAGGTAGAATAAAATTAAAATTTGTATAACCGATTTTTTAAACAGGTAAAGTTTTTAATTGATAATACACTGTTTTTATTTAATTATTTTAATATTATAACTAATCAGCTATATGTAGTTAAAAACAACTAATAGTAATATTTTATTATTTGTTTTAACAATTTTGATAAGAAAATTTTTTATTAAAGCTGTAGAAAAATTATTCTTAGATTAGATTAAAACAACTGATTGTGTGTGGGGGGTCATGTAATTTGAACTGCAGTTCTTTTAACATTTAACTGGATATATAATGAATTGTTTACTCACAAATTACAATACAGATGAGCAATGCAGCACTTTTTACAACAACAGACAACTGTAAATAATTTATTAATAATTTTTGTCTTTTTAAATTTATAGACAAGTTGTTATGCTCTTAACACAAGTTCGAGCTGGAGAAAACTATACAATAATTCACAGACTGACTCATTATTTATTTGGTAACAAAGTTGTTCAGAAAATTTTACCACCAGGAATCAAGCACAATCCAAGAATTAATTCAGAACTATCTGGACTACACGAACCTATACCATTGTAAATTATTTTCATACTCAAAAATTGTGTGACATTACTGTATTTAAATTTTAATTAATTTGAAAATAATATTAACTTCTTGTATTCATTTTGTAATACAGTATACTGTGTTTTACATAAAAAACCAAATACAATATCATAAAAATACAGTGTGCTATTGAAAACATACGAACATGGAATCATTGATATACATTATTTTCAGTGAGAATAGTACAGCAAATTTTCACTTAATTTCATCAATAAGTTCTTGGAAAATCCAATGTTAAGCGAAACAAAGTATAATGAAACCAATTTTACCATAAGGTGAATGATTTAATTTGGTTATTATTATTCTATCTTTTTTTAAATTGTATTGTTTTTGCAACCTCCAGCATTATTTACCACGTCATGTAATAAATTTTACTGTTCATAAAGTAAATTCAACAATAATAATTGTAAATAACTACAAATGATATGTTAAATTTCAGAAGCCTATATCTCTACGAGAAATGTGTGAGGGTCGAAACAAAAATTTAATTTCAAATTAATTAGGAGCGAAAACGCTATTGTCGAGTTAAACCAAGGGTTATGTTAGTTATGTAAGGAAGAGGAGAGGAAAAAAAAACTGTAGCTGTCAAACAAACGTAACGCGAAAACAAATGACTTAACAGATCAGATGGAATGTCGGTCAGGAAAGTTAGCTCTGACTCAAGCGCTCATAAACAGTCGATATAGGAAACATTTCTTAAATGGGGAAAGTTTTGATGGATAGAAAAGCATCGCATATAGTCGTTAAAGTTCGTAGACGACAGAAATCACCAACAACGGGCTAAATTAAGAGCGCAAGGCTTGTGGTTCTATCAACAATCTCCGGCATAGTCGACGAAAAAGTGTCGAATAGACGCCTGGAATCGTAACTTTTAGGCATTTACGTCATAACATTTACTTAATTCTACTTCCTTCTTATTCCGTTTCTACTATCCTTGCTATTCCTTCTCTCCTTTGCCTTTGCTATCGTTACTTGCCTCCCAATTGGTGAGGCTTTGTCTGTCTCTGATGCATGGCTGTGAGTCGACGCGTCTTGTGTTTGTCACTACTGTCTCCCGGTGCGGGATGCGGCAATCTTCCCTCTGTTCTCGGCAGACTTGGCACTCCCGCATCCACTTCGGTGGATGTTTGCCTGCCATCTACACTTCTCGTTTCTCTATATTTCTGGTCTATTATTCCCTTACCCACTCTGGGCACCTATATTACTTGTCTGAGCCTCAGGAGCAGTGTCACCTAGTGGATGATGGGCTCACTCTTATCTTTTCGCTTATTTTCAAACTTTTAAGATCTATAGTAATGTATCACTTCTCTTTTTCGTAAATAGGACTTCGATTATCAAGCTGCCTTTTCTAAACTTCCCTGTCTATAAGGCGCTTTCTCTCAGGCGCTTTCTCTCAGTCGCTTTCTGCTCCTTCAACTTGTATAAGCGGACAACAGGGTTTTTCTTCTTCTTTCTGAACGGGCATTAGGTATGGGGTTCATACACTGGACTCTCCCGTCCTGTTATTTTTCGCACCATCTACAAATTTGGTTCACATCCTTATTTGTAGCAAAACTGGTAACTAAAATAGATTAATTATCTTACTGATTACTGATTACCCTCCTGAAATAGATTAATTATCTTACTGATTATCCTCCTGCCACCAGATGGTGGCAGGAGGGTAATCANTTTAACTAATGGTAATCAGTAAGATAATTAATCTATTTTATTTAAATTTCTATTTAATTTAAAGTTCTTGTTTCCGAAACTCCCACCATCTGGTGGCAGGTTTCGAAATCAAGAATTTTAAATTAAAAATTAAATAACCTTTTTTAAACTTTCTGAATCTAGAATTTCGTCACAAAAGATACCTTTTGTGACGAAATTCTCGATTCAGAAAGTTTTCTACTTTGCAAACAACTTCACGATTCCTTTCACGGCCAATATATACAATTGTTTGAAAAGAAAAGCTGTTCTTTGCTTTATTAAGATGGGCAGAAAGAAGGGAATTAGAAGAACAGAGTGTCAATAGTTCTGCACAATATACATAAGACACCAGATTACAGCGAATTCGTGCTCGTATGAAACCTTTTCTACGCATGATACGTTTTCTGAGCGTAGATATAAGTATATTAGAAAGTTCCGTATTTAAAGAAAATACTTTAACAGAAGAGGAAATGACGGCAATCCATTTATGTTCTGTTTGTCCAGAATTTCAGCTTCCTCCACAGATCTGCAAAAATCCAAACCCTCGGAGGAATACGTATTACGATTCGTTGATTCATTATGTCAATAAACGCTTCGTTCACGCAGAAAAACGAATTAAATTTGCTAAACCGCAAACGTTTCAATGCGAATTTTATGCAGAGGAAGACAGTTTTTTGATTAATTTTGTCCTTCCAATAACTCACGAAATGACAAATCGAATTCCTGTTGTAACGGATGTCATTTTTTCAGGCAGAGAAGTAAACTTAATGGATGACACTACAAAGTGTTTTCAAACTGGGGACATTGGATTGGAAAATCCAATTTTTATACCTAAGCAGTCATCCGTTATTATATTTGTCAAGATTCGAACTACGGAGCTGTCTAATTCCAAAATTTTTGTTAAATCCGAATTTTATTACGTCACCGATACAGAATGGAGCGTATTTGAATCAACGAATGCCAAAGGCCAAGAAAATCCGTTTAAAATTCATTATTTAAGTGTCTTGTTATGTTTTTGAAAAACAATCTTAATTATATTTCATATCTAAATCAATTTTCTGAAATTAAAATTACAGTATTTACTGTTTTAATCAGATTACGAATAAATAAATTTGACGTTTACAGAAAATGATTTCTACGCTTTAAGTAATGAAAATGAATTGAGTTGCGACTTTAAATTAACGAAACTCGTTTGATAGATGTAATGATTTACTTCAATTCTTTTAAATCTTTATGCCAGACTATGTAAAACAATTTACCGGTTGATCGATGAAAGTACGCCTATTCGACATTGTCTAAAGTGATGTTTAGTAGCTTAAATATTAAATTGTAAATTGTAAGTAGTTATGTAATATGTAGGCAATTGTCTGGGACTTGTAGGGTTGGAGCACAGATTTACGCGTTAATAATTGTCGCATAACTTCTACGTAGAATAAGTGAATAATTTATTTATTTTATTTTCTCTGCCGTATTATGATGCAAGCATAAATGTCATTTTCATGGACAAACGAAAAGTAACTGCGAAGAGAGACACTGCTGTAATGCTTGTTACAATAATATATATTTGCGCCATTATCCTGTATTAACTTACTATAGTCGAATTTTTTATATGTTTACAATAGAAAAACCGCAACCTTTAAAGAATTCTCACAATTATAAGCTCTATTCAAATTGCGTTTTACATAAACATTTATTTAATATACAAAAATATATTTTATATTATTTACAGTTTAGCAAGTCCAGCGTTAATATTATCTTCAATTCCGCATTCGTTCTGTCCACGAATAATTTTGAAGTAACCTTTAAAATAAAAATAAAATTTACCATTTTTGCTAATATTATAAAATATCAAATTTTAAGATTAACACGTTACAGCCGCTTAATAACCACAGTAAGTCTATTAATTACGATACTTTTCAAGTATTTTAAGAAAAATAAAATAAAATAAGCATCAAATACACGCCCTTTAAAAAATAGTAAAGAAATATTTACATGCTTAATTTTAATATTTGAAAATATACCTTTATCGCCCCAATCAGGGTTCCAGGAATTTGCTACAAGCCAATAAGGAACACCATTTTCCACTCCCCAACCTAAAATTCTAATGGCGTGACCGCCAAGTACATCGCCACTATGATGCTGATAAACACCTAAATTCCGACATTAAAATGGATTATATATCGAGTATATTTTATGTGAAATTTGCATTAATCTATTAACCTGATTTGTAAGATACAAAATCGGCAAAAACTGTAAAATCTGCTTCTACGGGTCCATTTTTCATAATTTCAGTTTGAATTTGTTTCAC